AGGGCTCGTCCCCTCCAGCAGGGGGCAGCAGGGACACACACACACACACACAGAGCAGGGCTCGTCCCCTCCAGCAGGGGGCAGCAGGGACACACACACACACACACACACACACACAAATATCATTGTTAGATGAGGAAACTAGAATCACAGAGAGGGGACATAATCCAGTAGTTCTGCCCTCAGTTCCCCCCCCCACACACACACACACACTCTTACCCCCTCCCCTCCCAGAATCAGAAATAGAACCCAGGATCCTGGCCCTCAACCCAGAACACACAAGATTCTGGAGCAGGGAATAGGACGCGGGTCCTTAGGGGGCGCCGGCTCTGGTCTGGCCCTAGGGCAGGGGACTGACTGGCTTGGGGGGAGGGGGCTTGGAATGGTGCACCCTGAGCTGGGGAGTATGTGCAGGGTCCTTCACACCTCATTGTAACACAGGAAACCTCAATCCACGGAGCCGCTTCTCTGCCCCAGGGCCGTGCTGCCAGCCCTGCACCAGGGTCCTTGGGGGTATTGGCTCTGTCTGGGACTGCACCTCCCATGACTTGTTAGCATGGAGTCCTCTGTGCTCTGCAGAATTGCCTAATGGTTAGAGCAGGGGGGTGGAGGGTAGCTGGGAGCCAGGACTCCTAGGTTCTATTCCCCAGCACTGGGAGGGACGTGGGGTCTAATGGTTAGAGCAGAGGGGGCTGGGAGCCAGGACTCCTGGGTTCTATCTGCAGTTCTCGGAGGGGTCTGGTGGATTAGACAGGAAAATAGGAAGTCAGGACTCTTGGGTTCTAGCTCTTGCTCTGGGAGGGAGGGGATTTCAAGCATCATAAGGTGGGAATTTCACATCTGATTGATTTGAAACAAGACAGAGAAATTCATCGTCTGTCACAGACCTCACATAATTATATCCCTCTGCATTGAGTCCCATAGGTTAACTCCACTAATACGCTGTGGTAGGGAGTCCTGCAGTTTGAACCCAATAATGCCAGTGGCAGGGAGTCCCACAGGTTAACCCACCAGTACCCAGCAGCAGGGAGTTCCACACGTTTTCCCTGATGATAAAAATGTCTGATTTCCAGCAGGGCTTAGAATGGAAATGGCTTTTCAGCCCCACCGACGGGGTCTCTGCCCATCGTCTCACCTCCTCTGGGTAGCAGGGCCAATGGGAACGTGAAGCCAGCGCGGAGAGAGACGCGGCAGAGAGAAATGTATTTGCTCAGCAAATGGTCCATGTGTCTGTTCCCCTCCCCCGTCCGTGTGTTCACTCCTTTATCTCTGAATCTTCACACCCTCCTGCACCCCAGGCTGCTCTGTCTGACCCAGACAACACAAACCACAAATGGAAACAACAACTCATCGTCTGCCTTGACAGGAAAAGCCCGCTGAGACTGGCTGGCCATACACCAGGCTGAGGCTGCAGCCCGGCTCGACCGGTCGGGCGCCGAGGGCCAGGGATGCACAGAAATGGGGGGGTCCAGCGGTACGCTCTGGGCAAATATCAACTCCACCCGTCGCCCCTCGGAGGCAGTAGCATGTCCAAAGGGACTAGAGCTCCGACAGGGCTCTCAAAGAGGCACGTGCCCCAGAGATGTGACTGTGGTGTCTGGCATGAGGTGCGGCCGGGCTGATGCCCTGGGGTTGGACGTGAGTGTGCAGAGAGGAAGGGGCTGTTGGATTCAAGGGGCCGCTTGCAACCAGGTGCTGCAGACGCTGAGCTCAGAA